ATATATTTTTTTCTCTCTCTCTCTCTCTCTCTCTCTCTCTCTCTCTCTCTCTCTCTCTCTCTCTCTTTCTCGGTTTTAACATTCTTTTATTTCACATTCTAATATTTCAGACAAAAATTTATTTTTATATTTTTTAATTCGCGTGCGAAATCCGTCCATTTTTTTATTACAATTTAAATTCGCTTGATTTATTTTTGAATATAAGTTTCTTATTTAAGTGTGTTACTCGCTAGAATTATAATCCGAATTTTTCTCATCATGTTGTGGGGTATTGTCCTCAACATCCATTTATATATACATATATATATATACAATATGCTAGATAGCTTATGTATTCGTACAACCCGAAAAAGTATTCATTTTGTTTTTACAATAAAATAGAGACGTCAAATTTATCCCACTTATTTTAATATAATTATGACTTATTCAAATAAATTATCTAATCAATCATATATAGCTTGCTAATTTTATAAAATATTTAAAAAGTTGCCAATCTCTCGCACACAACTTTATGCTTAAATACAAAATCTGAGAACTTAAATCTTGAAATAATTTTATATGTATACATACATAAAAGCATTTAATGAGATTTATCAGTCATGAAATGAGCAAAAGAAATGAGCGTTAGCCGAGCAATAAGCGTGCCTTATTTAGTAAAGTAACTAGCAACGAGTAAACTGTTTACATCTTTCAAGAATTTCTCTGACATTTGATCTTACATTTTCCATGCCGTGTTTTATTCTTAAAGGCAAACGCGAATATATCGAAACTCTTATATTTAATTCTTATTAAATAAATTAAAAATCAAAACGAATAAGATTGCAAGTAAATTGAAAACAAATTGATAAAATATATAGATATACATTATATATATATATATATATATATATGTGTGTATATTAAAATGAGACTCTATGCTTGTTGGAAAAAGGAGATGAAGATATTTGACACCCTCGAGTTGGCAGCGAATTGTTTCCAGCGAGCGATAGATAGTGGGAAACACTTACCGGAAGAATGTATTTGCGCCGAATAAAGTACTCTGGCTTCAGTTGCCACTGTAATCCCATTTACCATTCCTTTGCGCGTTCCACCGTAACAGCCATCGCGCGCAGAAAACACCATCATTGCGAGGAGCGATCTCCTCGTCGTCTCTTGGAAAGTTAATGTCGGCGCGTGTTTGTTACTGCGAAAAGCCAGTCTTGAGAGCGGAAGCAAGCGTCGTGTTTAACCCCCGGGTCGAATCAGGAGTGGCTGCTGTTTAAATTCGATAAAACCCGGCAGGCACGAAAGGAGAGGTATGATAGACACGGGCTTCGCCCTGGCAAGGTGAATTGACGAGAGTCCGCGCGGACGGAAAAAATCAACGTCATGTTATTAATAATTAAAATATCAGAAACACAGGAGTTTCTGATATTTACGCAGTTTCCGAAACGCGAGACACAGAAATACGACTGATGACGTTTGGCAAAACGAGCCAAGTGAATTAATTACCTATATCTAGAGGATTTTAATTAAAGTTTCCAGAACTGTTTATGGTATGGGCGTTGGGGGAGGTAAGCGGGATGGATAGCACGGAGGAGGGATACGTGTGCATACGTTAAGTTGCTGTGAGGGTATGTGCGTGTGCGCGCGTGTTTGCTTGGCAACCCTTACATTTAGTTGGCGATAGTTTGTTTGTGCGGATGATGCTGTCTGCTGAAAGCCAGTCGTGAAAGCAGACGTGCTGCATTGCCAAGGAGAAATAGTCAATGTTTGCACGCACATTATTAACATCGACGGCGGTTACAAATTCCAGTGGTTGACTCGTTAAATAATTTTGCGAAAACGCTCTCTTCGCTACTGTTTTGCTTCTGTCGAGTCGTTAAATCGAATCCGAATTTCATGTCCGTCATCGCATTATACATTCACGATCGCTTCGACTCGGCGCTAAGCACCGTAAGCGATAAATATCACGGCGCGACGTATTGATGCCTTCCAGCATTTCTGAGATGATCGACATATTATTGTCAGCGCTTCGACATTCTTATGTTCGTGTCTCACGATCGTAAGACGTGCCTCGAAATTTATAGAATTCGATAATTTTTCATATTTGAAATCACCGACAAAATATACATGTATAAAAAAAA